TCATTGGAAATTAAAATCATTTTTATTTTAATTTTTAATTAGGAAGTTTTAATCTGAAGTTTAATTTCAGTAATTTCAGTATTTGTACATACATTTGGCATGGTGAAGTCTAATAGAGCGATAAATAAATTACCTGTAAACATAATGCACTACATTAGGATAAAATGTGTTGTGGAAAATAAAATGGGCTAACACAGGTTCCAGAAGAAAAGGGAATGTTGCCAATTTTCAACTGTTTACAAGAGCTTGCTTTTATCTTTCTTTAATGAAAGATGGAGGGTGTCAGATTGCTACGGGGTTAAATTTCATTGGATATACTTAGAAGAATGATAGAACATTGAGGCTGAAAATGTCAATATTTACAACACATCAGAAACTAACGCCTTTGGATAATTATAATTTTAAAATCCAGATGTAAATTTTTAAATGTGTTAGGGGAGATGTCATTTTTTAAAATTATTTTAAGTAGTACACAAACAAACGTAGGCTATATTTTTTGAAAATAATAATCTGAAGGCGGAAAGCTGTCACAGGATACGAAAGACCCAGAAAACATCCCGTCCTGAAGTTTAGCATCTATTTGTCGCAAACAGCAGTTTTATAAGGATTAAATGAGAAAAAGCGTGTGAATGCACCTGACATGAAGTTGTCTCACACCAAGGATCTAATAAAACTTAGTTTCCCTTATATTAAACTAAAATCCTTTTGCTGCATTGAAATGACATGTCTTCTTGTTATAGACGAGGGAATAAAACCACGTAACTAGTTATCAACTTTCATTTACTATCTCTTCATAGGCTAAAGAGATTTAAAATCACCTTTCCAGTTTCTTTTAAATTCTAAACAAGCCTCAAATATTAATGTTAAACAACCCCCAAATGTTTGTTTTAGGAAAGAAGAAGAAAGAAAGGAAATGGGAAGGAAAAAAAGGAAGAAAAGGGAGAGAGGAAAGAAGCAAGCTTTTAAACTCCTCTGCATGCCTCCATCTTCCCAAACCAAGCAACTGGGATAACTTCTGTGTTGATTTAAGAACACATTTAACCAAATGAATTTTCCATTGTTCCCACCTGTTTCCCAAATAGCTTCAACTGTTTTGCCTTTGACCTGCTTTGGCCCAACCCTGTGGGGAATCTGTGCGGTTGGAAGACCCCACTTCTGGGCTCCTCCACCGCAGAGTCGGCCTGAGCAGCAGCTGGGAAAACCTCCCGGGGAACAGCTGGTGTCCAGGGCCCCCCGGCTCTGCCATCGGCCGGGGTGAATATTAGTTTTCTGCAATTACAGGCTTTAGGGGGCACGTGTCAATAAAATAACACTTCATATGTGTGCGGTATTCTGCTGCTGACAGGTAACTCTCACAATCACGATCTCACTTGGTCTCACTTGGTCACGCAAACAAACCTGGCAGACTCTGTGAGTAGGAGCCATAGTTCTGGGTTCTGATCCCGCTTCCGATGCTTATTCCAAGAGTGACCATGGGGAGAGTGGGAGGGAATCACTTTAACTCACAAGACTCCCTCTCCTTAATGCAGAGTGAGAAGCCTGGACTAGCTCTCCCCTTACAATTTATAATTATGGGCAGATGCCTCAAAATAATATCCCCCCATTCTACTTACTCTACCTGCCACGGAATCCACCCAAACTGGTCTCTTTATCATATTTCTCACTGCTCACTCACTCAAAGGACAACTAAAACAACCAAAGCAAAAGCCACACAAGCTACTTCATTTGATCCTCTGAACAAACCTAAAAAGAAAGGTACTTCAGTTATTATTACCTCCAGATTTTAGAAGGGAAAATGAAGGTGACGGTTAGTGATTTCCGGCAATCACACAATAGGTAGCAAAGTCCTACCTTCTAGTTTCAGAAAACTAAACCATCTTGGAAGCAAAATGGTTTAATACACACGAGTTTATCACTAACACTGCCTTCATGGGTCTCCAGCTCCACAATGCTGACAACCTTCAAGCATTTGGTGAGAAGCAGGATCAGCAACTAGAGCCCATGACGATACTTCATGTGATCTCTGTTCTATGCAAGCCGATTTATGGAGCTGTACATGCCTCTGTGGTCTAACTCAAAATGTTAAGTACATTTTCAAATTGCTAATTTCTTAAAAGCAGAGACAGTGTCTAAATGGAAACCTTCACCTCCAAGTGTCCCTGCCCCGTGCATGCCCCATGCATCCTTGTTGATCTGAATCTCCCATGTCAGGGTGGGTCTCTCCTTGACAACTGGGGACCACATTTAGCCAAGCAGCTGCCCCTCAGTGTCTAAAGCCTACGATATGCCGTTCTGGCAGCATCTCAAAGGATTTATTATTATCATCCCATGATTTCATTATTATTATTATCACTCTTATGAAATTCGGGAGCTGAACCCACTACAAAGCATTAAAACAATTTTTGATATGGAACAGTCTGTTTTCTGCATTCCCTTCACAGTTGTGGTGTTTTTCCACCCAGTTTCTGCTCACTGCTGTAGGGCTCTAAGAGGTGGCCTCTGGCCATGCATGAATCAGTCTGAGAGTTCCCTCCACTACCCTCTGTCCTGTCCCAGTGGTGGCCTTGGGGAGGAGAAGGCTCTTCAAGGGGACCTTTCCCAAATAAGAGGCAATCAGGATGTCTCTTGATACAAAGTGCACTGGCCAAGGAGATGACAATGAGCTGAGGGCAAGTTTTCTATTTAATAAATATACTGAATGAACTAACTGTGTAAGATAACCTTGAAGAATACTTCTTGCTCAGATCAGCTCCAATTTAACCTTTTTCCTGGCTTCTGGAGGTGTCCACAGGGAGGATCATCGTGCTAGGAAAGATCTCAGGAAGAGACCCCACTCCACACCTTCACTTCTACTTCACTCATCAACTTGCATCATGAAAACCCAGCCTGGTTTATGCAAGACTTTAGGGAAAACAAAAGTTGCTCTTTATTAGGGAAGTCAGAATTCCTGACCAAAAACATACTGAGGTGAGAAAGAGAATTGATTAGGAGTTCTAAGACTCGGATTTGACCCTGTCTTTTCAAATAGACGATTCCATTTTTTTTCCGTGTGGCCTTCACCAAACCACACATTGCTGTGTCTGATTCCTCATCCTCCAAATTAAAATATACATACCTCTCTGACTTACCCTCTCCTCCCCAAATAGTCCTTGAGTCTCCTGCAGATTTGTGGCTTGAAAATGCAAAGTATAAATCATTAAATTAAGATCAGTTTCTTATTTTGACCCTAGGTAAATCTCAGAAGAAAAAAAAAATATTGGTACAACATAAAAAAAGATGCTTATCCTTCTGCATGGCTGTTGGGCTCATATTTTATTGTAGAGTTTTAGAAAACCTTGGGAACCTGCGGCCTCAGGGCCACATGTGGCCCTCCAGATCCCCAAGTGTGGCCCCTCCACCGACTTCAAACTTGGACTCAGTCAAAAGGCCACATCCAAGGATCTAGAAGGCCACATGTGGCCCCAAGGACACAGGTTCCCCACCCATCCTGTCCCACCAATTTGGGATCTGAGCTTTCATAAGGGGAAAGAGTGGTGTTGACTAGACTTCAGGGATGGTTATATGAAGGAGACAGAACGGGTGATAGGCTGTGAATGAGTAGGACTAGCACTTTTCTGCAGTTACAACAGTAGACTTTCAGTAACATATTTCAGGGGGAAAAAAATAGAAAAAGACAACATTTTGGGGATTGGAGAGAAATGTTTATTCCTCTCTAAATATTCAACAGCAACAGATTTCAGATCATACTTATCCAGATAACAATTGTTAAAGAATCCAAATTCATATTCATTTAAGTTGTAGAAACCACATCGACGCATAGTAGGGCTACTCTTTTTAAATTAAGTTACCAATAAATGTGTGGTCGACAGGAGCTCTTTAAAACATAGAGACCTCCTACCACGGGTATATGTTCTCAAAAAGGCTGCTTCGTGCCCAAGGCCTTTTCCAGACTGACCCCTCCAAAAAGCACTGGATCTAGCCACAGGTTAATTAGTGTTTCCTGAACACACTCTGCACATTCCTGTACATTCTACACCTTTGCTCAAGCTTTCCCCCATCTGAAAAAGCCCTTGCCTCCCCTCTCCCCATTCTTCATGACCCAATTAAACCCAGCCTCCTCCCTGAAACTTTGACTACCTGATCTACCACTGATCAATCTCTGCTTCTAAATGTCAATAGTACTATCAGTCTGCAATTATCATATTTATATATATATTTCCCCCCCACCACCAGATTCAAGTCCTATCTCCAAAAGAGCCTGCAAGTCTCTCAAGGGCAGGAAACATAGATACTTTATTTCTAATGTTTAGTATGGTATACTGTGATTTGTCAGGCACTCGCTAAACAGATGCTATTGAGCATCTAGTCGAGTCCCAAACTATCCCTGTTTTTCTATAACTCCACTGCAACTACCTCCCATTTAAAAAATGGCCCAAATAAGCTACACACAAGCTAAAGGAGCTGACTTGGCATATATAGACACAACCTAAAAGAAATCCAGTAGCAAGAGATAGGGATTCATTTATTTGAAAAAAAAATTTAATGTTTTTATTCTTTAAAATAACACATCCATCATTTCAGTGCATTCCACACACAGAAGCATTCATATAGATTGGCCTATCTGAAAATGGATTTAGCAGGGGACATTTCTCCTTGCGATGGGACAGCTGAAGAGGTGTAATTTAACAGCTTTCAGAGGCCCGTCACTGGGGTGATTGAGGTGGACAGAAGGCATGGACAGGACCAAGGCCCTTAAAAGACACAAACAGGTGGGAGAGTGCGCTGGGGGTGGGCGGAGGGCTGGGGAGTACAAAAAGGAGGGAGGCTCGCCTTGGACAGCAGAGACGGGAGGAGGCAGGGAGGGAGGCTGCCCAAGGGACAGGCAGAGCGAGAGAAGGGGAGAGAAAGAAGGAGGGAGAGGAGAGGAAAGGAGAGAGGAGAGGAGAGGAGAGGAGAGGAGAGGAGAGGAGAGGAGAAAGGAGAGGAGAGGAGAAAGGAGAGGAGAGGAGAGGAGAGGAGAGGAGAGGAGAGGAGAGGAGAGGGAGATCTGGAGCTAGGTCACATCTGGACAGGGCACAAGTCAGAGGTGGAGCCAGAACAAATAATGAAACTAAAGAATGAAAGAGAAATGGGCGGACAGCTCATGAACGGAGGAGCAATAGACCGTTCAGTGGGAACAGGGAATGCATGTGAAGGAAAGACGAAGATGATTTCTCTGTGCGTGGCCCGAAGGACAGTGATTTAAAAAAAGCTCAGAGTGAAAGGAAAGGAAGGGAAGGGGGAAAAGGGAATAAGTAAGAAGACAAAATAATCACTAAGTGCACAAGGACTGATCTAAATGCTCAGAAAATCGCCAGGCTGCTAGGCGGAGCTGGAAGGAGCGCCGCAGCCATACCCCAGAGAGGACCATCAGGAAGACAGCGGCAGGCAATTTAAGTAGCTAGCTACTGGGGTAAAATGAGAGAGAAAAAAAAAAAAAATAGAAGCTAGAAAAGGTGAGAAGCAGGAGAGGGAAAGCCCAGAGGAGACACTGGCCCAGAAACCTTTTTAACTTTCTGTTAAGAATCTTCAAGGCCCCAAACTAGGCCAAGATTCTGACTGACATTTCTGAGCTCACCAGCTGCTGTTTCCTTGGGAGAATTCTGACAGCAAGGCACAGGAACGCGAGCCAACGCGGCCGGCTCTGGAAAATAAATAAATAAATAAGTAGCTCCCGCGTCCTCCCGCACCACCTCGGAGGGGGCCCGGAGCCCGCCCTGCCCTGCCGGGGTGGAAGAAAGGAAGCCCCCAGAGGAGGAGGGACCCTCCTGCACGACTTTCCCCAGGTATGTGCTCGGTCTCTCCCGCCTGCTGCTGCCTTCCCCTCTAGTCGTCCTCTGGCTGTTCCTGCCTTGCCCATCTGTCTTTCTCTCTTTGTGAATTTTTTGGGAAGCCCCGCAGGCGATCTGCCTCTGTCATCTGCAGCCAGCGCGGCAGTGTCTATAAGGAGCAGATGAAGTTCCAAGTTCTGCATCTCAAGCAGGCCAGGGAGGGGAGGACAGCTAGAGTCCAGGTCCATGAGGCAGAGCCAGGCGAGGGGGAATAAAAGAGAGAGATGCCCCCCAACGCGCCCCGTGCTTGCTCACCAGTACCTGCTGGCTCTCAGTACCTGCTGGCTGGTACTGAAGATGAGCTTGCTTCTACGTGCTGGGGCTCGACTTGGTGGCAGAGGGTGACATGGGTGGGCCTGGAATACAGAGGACAAGGAAGGGCAGCTCTCCAGGGGAGAGGTTTCACAGCAGTCACCCAGTCACAGCCTGGCCAATTGACCGGTGTTAGCAGAGATGGATGAGAACTGGAGAGCATGTGACCTTGAACTTGCAGCTTGCCCTTTGAGTGCCTTGGCAAAATATGTTGAATGTATACCGCATTTTTCTTTCAAGCAATTCAAAGCATTCATTTTTAATATGTAATTTATCTCAACTACTCTGTCACTGAATGGGGGTGGGTTTCGGATGTTCCCACTAAGACAATGTAAACTGTTCCATCTTTTTGGAAAACTAAGAAACTGAGTCCCAGAGCAACATATTTCTTTGGAAAACTAGGGCGAGAACTCTAGAGCCCCATCCTCCTGACTTTGGTTCCTGGACCTTAAACAACACTTCATCTTCACCCAATTTAATATTGATGCACTTTAAAAAAAAAAAAAATAAGAAATTTTGGAGCTAAAGAGCTTTGTCGTTATTCTGTATCATTATTTCATGTTATATTATCTTTATGGGTCCCTCTGCAAATAGGATGTAAGGGCAAGTGAGTCAGTGGACCCTCTGTCTGACTATCTTCTCAAGAAATACACGCACCTTTTTTTATACCCATTCTTCACCAAACCCCGCTGAAGATTTATTGGTAAAAATTGGAAGTCAGTGAGATCATTCTTAGTAGCATACAACTGCGCAAGCCAATAACGCTTAGTAGCTTCCCAAAAGGAGTTGCCCTCTCTTTGGAGTGTTGACCATCTGTCTGCCCCCTCGTCTGTGACAGCCATACCCTGGAGAGGGGCTCACACCTTCCTAACTTCTGTGTGGTTTTTACTCCTCTTCCTCGCTTCCTCGTTTTTTAGGAAGCTCAAAATGTCAGGACCGATTCCTTGCCCTCGAGCTGTGTGGAGTGTCAGAAACATCAGCCCAGGACAGTGGTCCTCAGAGTGTGGTCCCCAGAGTAGCAGCATCAGCATCACCTGAGAGCACGTTAGAGGGGGAAATTCTCAGTTCCTTCCCCAGACCTCCTGCATCAGAAACCTGGGAGTGGCACCCAGCAAACTATGTTTGAGCAAGTGGTGCAGGACATTCTGATGCACCCAAATAGAAGGTTCAGATTTTTTAAAGAGCCGTTTCCAGAATCCACAGTATTCAGGTCTCCTTACATGCCCATCACCTACCAAGCTAGAGCTTCTAAGAGAGACGCTGCACCAAACAGCAACCTCTCTGTTCCTTGTGTCCTTCATCTGTAAAATAGGAATATTTCCTTGTGACGGTGCGTGGAACAGTGTCTGCACACAGTAGGTGCTCTCTAGGGATGGCGGTGCTGGTGGTTTTATCTGCTTTTACCCTTACTGTGCAGAAGGCCTCTACCAGGTGGTTGAGAAGTCGAAAATGAAGCAGTCAGGATGCCAGCCCTCTAGGAGGGAAATGCACACATTTTACAGGTACGCAAGGAATTAGACTGCAAGGTAAGGTGTGAATTGTTTTTTGAACTGAGCTTTAAAGAAAGCAGTTTCAACTAGGGAAGATGGGCAAAGGGAAGAGGACATTCCAGGTGGACACTGAACATAGAGAGCATTGGAAAGATAAGACGTTAGAAGTTGAGGCCGGACGTGGTGGCTCACGCCTGTAATGCTAGCACTCTGGGAGACCGAGGCAGGAGGATTGCTCGAGGTCAGGAGTTCGAAACCAGCCTGAGCGAGACCCCGTCTCTACTAAAAATAGAAAGAAATTAATTGACCGACTAAAATATATATATACGAAAAATTAGCTGAGCATGGTGGCACATGCCTGTAGTCCCAGCTACTCGGGAGGCTGAGGCAGGAGGATTCCTTGAGCCCAGGAGATTAAGGTTGCTGTGAGCTAGGCTGATGCCACGGCACTCACTCTAGCCTGGGCAACAAAGTGAAACTCTGTCTCAAAAAAAAAAAAAAAAAAAAGAAGTCAGTTGAAGCCTTTCTGTTACTAATATGTTAACTACTCATATTGTATAAAGGGGTCACCCTATTTCTGGGTCTAACCTTTTATAGTCATGTTTGCAGATATTCTTCCTTTAAGCCAAACTAAATAGTTTTCCTTAGACTGTTGTGGAGTGAGTCCTTCCCTGGATTGATGATTTCATTAATTTAGAAGCCATACTTCTCTTTCTTGTTTATCATTAGATCGATGTTTTTCAGAGTCCTCTGACCACTTGCAACAGAATAAAATGCAGATTCCTGGGCCCTGACCCCCGTAACTTATTTCAGCATCTTTGAGATTAAGTCAGAAGAATCTGCACCCAACTTTAGGATTTTAGTGTTCACTCAAGTTCAAAAGCAACTCTCCTAGAGCTGTTCGATTCACCTAGGAATGCTTGTTAGAAAGGTGGCCCCCCAGCCATTGCTTTGGACATTCTGATTCTGTGGTTCAGAGTAGAGTGCAGGAAACAGGATCGTTAATAAGTGCCTCAGTGGCACCAAGGATCAGGCAAGGCTGGGGAACACAGCATATCAGAAAAAACGTGTGCTTTGGGTTAGAGAGAAAAGTCAAGTCTTAAGTCTGCCACTTACTAGCTGTGGGGTTTTGACAAGTTTGTTAACCAACCTCTATCTCCAAATTACTTAACTTGCTTGAGACGGTCCCGTGCCAGGTAATAAAATGTACTTCACAGGGTTGCTGTAAGCATAAATGCTCTAAGTAAAGGGCCTAGTGTCAGACTGGCTCTCTCTGCTCCCCTTGTCCCATCCTCCCCTGATGTCCCAGCTTCAGGTCTCATGGATGAGAAGCGGGGCGAGGACAACAGTGATGGTGAAATGCCACTAATACTCAACTCTTCTGGGAGTTGAGTAGGGCAGGAGGCCTTCAGAGGGAGAAGGTGGGCTCTTGGAACTGGCACTGCTCTGGCTGCCCCTGGGAAGTTAAAATGGGACTCACGCCCATGATCAAATCAACATTCAGAACTGGCCAGTCCTCTAAAAATAGCAAGACGCTCTGGCTGAGTCCCAGGAAAAATAAGGTCCTATCCCGACATACTATCCACGCTTGCCTTAAAAGGAGGGGCCTCCACTTTATTTCCTACCTCCTCAGTCAGATGACGGGAAGCCCCAGATAATTTGGCTTTCACGTGGTGAGCTCCAGAATAGCTTCTGTTTCATGGACGGCCACCAAGAACACCAAGAGTGGATATCAGTGCATAATGTCACCAGTCTTCAGGCTTTGGAGTGAGTCCATGTGTGCAGGCCACTCCTTCTGCAGACACCAGCAGGGTTCTAATCCCCTTAGAAGCATGCAATTCTGATTACATTTTAACAGACTATTAGCAGTTGTTTAAAACCTCCAGGCTTGAGCAGGGGCAGAGAAGGAATAGGGAGAGCTAAGAAGCCTCTATTAGAAATTCAGACTGGGAGCTACAGGTGATGGTTCTGCAGAAAGTCCTGGTTGCCTATCCTGGTCCAGCAAAGGGTAGAAGAACTGAAGTCAGATCTGTTGTCAGAGAGCAAATTCCTTGCGGTCAATAAGGGGGACAGTCTGAGAGCATCTCTTCATACATACCTTTTCATAAAGGTCCTGAAAATGACACTGGGGTCCTGGAAATTCAAACCTGTAATGAATCTTGTCAAAAATAACATTGATGAATACCTTTCCTTAACAAATCCTTTCAAAACATGGAAAGAGTTTAAAATGATTTTTTTAAGCAGATTAAAATCGTGGGAGAAATATTTGAAAATGTTTAAACTATCCCAAATGAAAATGTTTAAACTATCTCAAGTATCTGAGTCACCCCTTGCATAAAAACAATTGTCACATTAATGAAACCCTTCAAAGTAAATCAGATATAAGGACTTCCATGTACAGGGTAGATTCAGTTGATATACTAATATCAATTAATATAATACTAACTATATATTAATAAATAATATATAATTCATATTAATATTAAGGATACTAATTAATATTATATTGATAATATGTTATTAATAAACAATATTAATAATAGTGGCAGATGCTATTTATTAGACTTCTAATACTGTGCTTATGGCACTTTACATAGATCTATCTCATTGAAGCCTCCTGTTGAATAAGCACTATTATTCTCACTTTACAGATGAGGAAACTGAGGCTCAAAGAGGTTAAGTACCTTGTTCAAGTCAAAGATGCCCAAGGCATGCTGCTCCCCCTTCCCACTCCTCTGTAGCCAATAACCTTGAAGATCAAAATATTGTATTAGTCTATAATTTACATTTCTCCCTGTCTCAGCCTGCCCTTGATTTTTCCCAAATCCAAGAAACTTTCTAAGGACCATTAATGGGAAGTCACCAGCCTCATGTCTCTGTCATGCTGTGTCTGAGTGATTTATGTTCAAATACTGCCCTGCTCAGTGAAAGAAACAGAAAAAGAAACAAAATTGCTGTTCTTGCTTTTGGAACTATTTTTACTGTTGCTTAAGTCCTGATTGCTTTTCAGTGACACTTGTCTCTCAGGGACAAGGGAAGGACCAGCTTAGTAATTTAAGACTTTTGAACAATTGTCCAATTATGAGGCAGGGTAGGGTGGAGAGAATAAATCTTGTGTTCGATAACATGTTGAGTGACATTTTATATCGCCGT